AATAAAACTGAAATTTGGGGAATTAATGTACCTGAAAGGATGAAAACCAACCACTGGCAGCTACATAAATGTAAATGGATAAGAGAATCTTTAAAATATGTTAGGAATAAATATTGTGGAGAAACATAAAAATCTTTTAAAGGCAATTTTTACTCTCCAGTGCGGAATAAAATAACAAAAAAATTTTCTTGGGTAAGTAGGGTAGCCATGGTAAAGATGAATGTCCTCACAAAGTTATTTCAGTGGGTGCTGATTATTACTAGTCTCTTGGTTTCCACCAAGAAATTGCTAATAATGAAGAGTTGTCAAACAAAAGGCAGGTTTACAAAGCATCAGTCACGGAAAGAAACATTGGGAGCCCTGGCTCCTGTGTTAGGGCAGGATGTAGCCCAGAGAATGCAGGGAGCGGTACCCACAGTACTCCTCCTTGCCCTGACATCCAGAGGCAGCTTCCCTCCCTCCCTGCTTTTCTCAGAACCCTTCAGCCCACCCCATAGCATAAGTGTCCCCTTCTGGGCAGTGTTGCTGGCATTCCAGCTCTTTACCTTCTATGACAGTGGTCACCAACCAGTAGATCAGAATCTACTGGTAGAGCTTGGAGCCTCTGACAGGTGATCTTGATTGGTTTGGCCAGGAAGCTATCAAGCACTAGCACTTCAGTTGCCCCTCCATCCACTGTCCTGCTGCTCCTGCCCTCTGCCTTGGAGCTGCCCCCTGGGAGCCTCCTGCTGGTTGTGCAGGGTGTGGGAGGGAGAAGGGGGGACACTGATGTCAGGGTGGCCTTCCTCCCTCCACTCCTGTATCTTATCTCCACACAGAGAGAAGGGGGTGCAGCGAGCTTGGCAGTACAAATCTGTCACTCACACAGTGTGTCTGTCTGTCTCATTCTCACAAACACACTGTCCTTCCCACTCATCTCCTGACCCAACATGTATGTGGGTGGTGGTTGTTATACTTTTACTGCTTGCAGACTGTTTTATTTTGCGGGTTTTGACTGGTCTGTTTATTTCATCATTTTCATTTCTCTCTTACACTTAAATTTAATTCTTGGAGTAGTGAGTTCTAAAATGCCTAACCTCTTGTGGCTGGAATAATTATCCCTATGGTAAATCCTGCTCCTGGAAATGGCTGGCATGTCCCTGCAGCCCCTGAGAGAGGCAGAGCAGGAGGTCTCCACATGCTGTCCCTGCCTGCAGACACAACTCTTGCAGTTCCTATTGATCAGTAACTGGGAGCCGTGGGCTCAGTGCCTATAGCTGGGGGGCAGCGCATGGCATCATGGAGCTATTGATGTGCATGCCAGCTGCCTTCAGGAGTGGTGCAGTGTCAGGGCAGGTGTAAGCCTGCCTTTTCCCCCACTGCTCCACCACCCGGAAGCCATTTTCCCTGCCTGCAGACACAACTCTTGCAGTTCCTATTGATCAGTAACTGGGAGCCGTGGGCTCAGTGCCTATAGCTGGGGGGCAGCGCATGGCATCATGGAGCTATTGATGTGCATGCCAGCTGCCTTCAGGAGTGGTGCAGTGTCAGGGCAGGTGTAAGCCTGCCTTTTCCCCCACTGCTCCACCACCCGGAAGCCATTTCAGCCAGAGCCTGCTTCCTGAACCCTGTCCCAGCCCTCAACCGCCCCCTGCA